AGCCCCTGATGGTGGGGATGGACTTGACGCAGCCTGAGACCAGGTCAAGGCCCCCGAGTAACCCCAGCTGTGGTAACGACTGCCGCCAATGGCGTACAGCTGGTGGGAGCTAGATGGGAACGCGTGTAGCATAGTCAGACAGGCCAGGTCAATAACAACGGAGCAGACAGTACTAGACGGTAGGCAAAGAATACTCAGGTCATGGGCCGGGTTCAGCAATGGCAGGTCAGGTAAAGGGTTAAAGCGCGAATAGTCTTGTCCAAGCCGAGTCGGTTACCAGGAGAGCAATGAGAACAGCACAAGAGCTTGAGACAAGGGAACATACAGGACACGAATGATAGCAGGCTTAAATGTGATCAACCACACCCTTCTGAGGAGGAGCCACAGGAGCCTGAAGGCATAAAGGTTCCCACCATGCTTTTCAGAAACCTAAGATGGATGCCAGCACATGGAGATGCACAAGCTCTGAGGAAAGGTAGGACCTTGACAATTTCACAGTGATCTTGGCGGGAGGAAATCTCCAATCTTGGTACCAGGTTTTGGGAATAGCCAGGAGACTGATTGTGCAGGTGTGTGTGGGTCTTTTTGTAGAGACAGGACCAGGATTCTGAGGAGTCCATGTGGGTGCAAGGGAGCAGTCACTTGCGTGCATGTTGGCACAGTGTAGTCTGACAGAGCAGACAGAGGGCCTAAGACTGTGGGCTGGAGCAGCAGGGCAGCTGTGAAAGAGTGCTAAACGAGGTACAGTGTCTGTGCGCAATTACAGGGGAACTGTTACATGGTCAAAGCCTGAGCAGTGGTGCTGCTAAAGAAAGCCAGGAGGCTGAATCTTTTTTTGCATGGATGGAGGATACCCCTGCAAGGGCAAACTGTTCTGTTGTTGAACTTTTCCTTTTCTCTTCAATAAATGTGGGCCAACAAGCCTTTAAATAATTTCTGGTGTGGATTCTACTCACTGGTAAGCACTATCTTGAACTAAACAGCCCCCAAACATTACAGGGATGTTATTACAATGTTGATGTTACAAAATGAAAGCGTATATGTGTGACCATACACTTCCTTTAACTATTTGCATACTCTGAACTGGTGAAAATAATTTATTGAGTTTATGTAAAGGTCCTGTAGCTCCCATTTTTCTGCTATGTAGGTGGTTTAGCCACTGACATGGACAAAAGGTGTAACTCACATTTTGTGAGAAAGTTGTATTCTACAACAATCTCAAACTCGGTCCTGAGTTTTACATTTTTAGTATTACATTTTGAGTTTTTATATTTAAATAAATGATTACAAAAAGTTTGTTTTCAGTCATTTCACAATACAGAAATAATGAAAGCAAATTATAAACTCATTTTACCTTGTGGTGCTATTCTTTCAGTGACCTTAAAATGAAAAAAAAAAAAACAATGACGAGAGCATGTGTTGTATTTACAAGTGAGACATAATTAGCAAAATATTTAGGTTCTAAATATGTTGGCAGTCGTTTAACACTCTGACCTGTACATGTGACTAAGCTCCTCATAAGAATGTCAAAGAAATGGAAGTTGGCTGCAAGATCAACATGTAGGGCACAAATGGGTTTATTTATAAATGTTTTCACACAACTTTATAACTTCCACCTAGAATAATATCAGAATTTTGGGTGAAAAATGTATAGATAGGCCTTGAATTGTTAACATGTTAATAATTGGGTGATTTTACAGCAATGAAAAGGAATGCTCAAGGGTTTTAAAGGATAACATTACAAACCGATGGGTTTCAAAGGAAGGTTATGTCAATAGATAGTTTCTAACATAGAAAACTGAAAGGTCATAAATAGATTCCTAGGAAATGACATACATGAATGTCATCAAAATCTCTCCCAAAGGTTTTACACAAATGGCATATGACTGTGTATACCAATGCAACTAACTCTAGGCTGTGTAATGAGAAGTGGATAGACTTCATAATGGGATACTAGAATACATAACAGGAAATGTTTTAAGTATATCTGAAACCAAAACTTTTTTCTATTTTGTATTAAATATTTTATATATTTTATGTTAAATAAAATACATAACAGTGAGAAATGAATGAGCAAGAATCTGAGATGAATTCACCAAAGATCAAAATTTCCTATAATTAGGGGTGGACTTGGAAAGTGTTTGTCAAGACTATTTTTAATAGTTTGGATAGAGAGAGGAAAGATTTCTATCAGTGCTATCTGTGGGGCCCATTTGAGCTATTTCCCTTTAATGTCTGTGCTGTTGCTGAAAATGATTTATCAAACAGAAAATCTGCAACAGAGGCATAGACAGCAAATTAAAGCTGACAGGGGTTTTAGCTTTTCTACTTTCCAACAGCAGCGCAGTGACTAATTGGTTAGCACTGCAACCTAGGGTCGTCAGTTTAAATCCCAAACACGACATTACTTGCATGGAATATGTATCTTCTTCTTGTGCCCATGTGGGTTTCCTCCCACAGTCCAGGGGCATGATGGAAGGTAAATTGGCCTTAGTGTGTCTTTTGCAGCTTAGTGTGCGTATGTGTGAATGTGAGTTAGGGACCTTAGATAGTAAACTTCTTTAGGACAGGGACTGATGTAAATGTGGAATATATATGTCAGGGCTCCCAGGTATGACCAGAGGTGTGTGGCTGACGCAGGGAAACGCAGACCTCAGATATGTGATAAACAATGTAATTTATTAACACTAACAATACAAACATAAACGCAGTGCAATACTAAACATAATACAGTGCAAACAAACCCAACCAACCACCCACAGATAACAGTACATACAAGCAAGCGTCGTCAGGCAGGCCGAGTCAATATCAATTGGGCAGGTAGGTACAGGGGGAGCAAGCGGAGAATGGTCGGTGTCACAGGCCAGGTTCAGCAGGTAGCAAGCAGCGTAGTACAGAGGGTCAGGCAGAGGGATGGTCAGGGTCACAAGCCAGGGATCAGAACAGGTAGCAAGCAGCGTAGTACAGAGGGTCAGGCAGAGGGATGGTCAGGGTCACAAGCCAGGGATCAGAACAGGTAGCAAAGGAACAGAAACAGGATGCAGGACAGATACAGGGCCCAGGACAAACACAACACCAAGGCAGAGTCTGCAAGTCTGGCCATCCCTTAAATACACCAGTATCATCAGTTCCAGGTGTTAGCTGGCTGAAAGGTTGAGTCTCTGATTGCTGGGAGCACCCGCTGGCCAGCCCTGGTACTGCAGATCAAAAGGCAGGTGAGTCCCACCATTGCTGGCCAGTCCATTCCTGACAGTACCCCCCCCCTCAAGGAGCGGCCTCAGGACGCTCCAAACAGTCCTAGCTGGGAAAAATGTTCCACCCGCCCGGGTCTGGTAACTGGCGGGATATCAAAGACTGGCACACCGGGCAGGGACTCCGGGCAGCGGTACACCGGGCAGAGGCACATCGGGCTGGGAGAGGCACATCGGGCTGGACTCCGGGCAGAGGCACATCGGGGGCTGGACTCCGGGCAGAGGCACATCGGGCTGGACTCCGGGCAGAGGCACATCGGGCTAGGGACTCCGGGCAGAGGCACATCGGGCTGGACTCCGGGCAGAGGCACATCGGGCTGGACTCCGGGCAGAGGCACACCGGGCAGAGGCACATCGGGCTGGACTCCGGGCAGAGGCACATCGGGCAGGACTCCGGGCAGAGGCACATCGGGCAGGACCCCGGGCAGAGGCACATCGGGCTACCAGGCGAAGCGGCAGGCAGCGGGCCACCGGGCGGAGCGGCAGGCACCGGGCCCCCGGGCGGGCATCAGGCCCTCGGGGCCCCCGGGGCAGGGCGTCAGGCCTCGGGCCCCCGGGCGGGGCGACAGGCCTCGGGCCCCCGGGCGGGGCGACAGGCATCGGGCCCCCAGGCGGGGCGACAGGCATCGGGCCCCCAGGCGTGGAAACTACAGGTCTCGGGCCTCGGGCCCTCAGGCGGAGTGGCGGGTGCCGGACCCCCAGATGGAGCGACAGGCCTCGGGCCCCCCAGGCGGGGCGACAGGCATCGGATGGGCCCCCAGGCGGGGCGACAGGCATCAGGCCCCCAGGCGGGGCGACAGGCATCGGCCCCCCAGGCGGGGCGACAGGCATCGGGCCCCCAGGCAGGGGGCGGCGTGCGGCGCCGGACCCCCAGGTGGAACTACAGGCCTCGGCCCTCAGGCGGAGCGGCGGGCGCCAGACCCCCGGGTGGAGCGACAGGTCTCTGTGCCCTCAGGCGGAGCAGGGCGGGCGCCGGACCCCCAGGCGGAGCGACAGGCATCGGGCCCCCCCAGGCGGCGGGGCGTGACAGGCATCGGGCCCCCAGGCGGGGCGACAGGCATCGGACCCCCAGGCGGAGCGGCGGGCGCCGGACCCCCATGCGGAGCGGCGGGCGCCGGACCCCCAGGCGGAGCGGCGGGCGCCGGACCCCCAGGCGGAGCGGCGGGCGCCGGACCCCCAGGTGGAGCGACAGGTCTCGGGCCCTCAGGCGGAGCGGGCGGGCGCCGGACCCCCAGGCGGTGCGACAGGTCTCGGGCCCTCAGGGCGGAGCGACAGGTCTCGGGCCCCCAGGCGGGGCGGCGGGCGCCGGACCCCCCCCAGGTGGAGCGGTGGGCGCTGGACCCCCAGGCGGAGCGACAGGTCTCGGGCCCCCAGGCGGAGCAGCGGGCACCGAGTCACCAGGCACACGACAGTGGGCTCCGAGTCAACTGGCATGACCGCTGGCACTAGGTCAGACATTGGATCGTCTGGCTGGACAGCGGGCATCGGGTCACCAGGCATCAGGTCATTTGGCTCGACAGCGGGCACCGTGTCATCTGGCAAGGCAGTGGGCTCCGAGTCAACTGGTATGACCGCGGGCACTGGGTCAGACATTGGATCGTCTGACTGGACAGCGGGCATCGGGTCACCAGGCATCAAGTCATTTGGCTTGACAGTGAGCACCGCGTCATCTGGCAAGGCAGTGGGTTCCGAGTCAACTGGCATGACCGCGGGCACTGGGGCAGACATTGAATCGTCTGGCTGGACAGCGGGCATCGGGTCACCAGGCATCAGGTCATTTGGCTCGACAGACAGCGGGCACCGCGTCATCTGGCAAGGCAGTGGGCTCCGAGTCAACAGGCACGACAGTGGGGCACCGGGTCATCAGGTACCGGATTGTCTGGCTCGACAGCAGGCATCGGGTCACCAGGTATGACAGCGGGCACTGGGTCACCAGGCATCAGGTCATTTGGCTTGCCAGCGGGCACCGCGTCATCTGGCAAGGCAGTGGGCACCGGGTCACCAGGCATTGGATCGTCTGGCTCGACAGCGGGCATCGGGTCACCAGGTATGACAGCGGGCACTGGGTCACCAGGCATCAGGTCATTTGGCTCGCCAGCGGGCACCGCGTCATCTGGCAAGGCAGTGGGCACCGAGTCACCAGGTACGACAGCGGGCTCTGAGTCAATTGGCACGACAGCGGGCACCGGATCAGGTACCGGATCATCTGGATCAACAGCGGGCATCGAGTCAACTGGCCTAATAGGATCGTCAGGCTGGATCAGTTCATCATGCTGGGTAGAGGCATCAGGCTGAATGCCGGCGTCCCGGCTGAGTAGAGGCTTCAGGCCGAGTAGAGGCTTCAGGCCGAGTAGAGGCATCAGGCCGAGTAGAGGCATCAGGCCGAGTAGAGGCTTCAGGCCGAGTAGAGGCTTCAGGCCGAGTAGAGGCATCAGGCCGAGTAGAGGCATCAGGCCGAGTAGAGGCTTCAGGCCGAGTAGAGGCTTCAGGCCGAGTAGAGGCATTCAGGCCGAGTAGAGGCATCAGGCCGAAGAGAGGCATCAGGCTGCATACAGGCATCAGGCTGAAGAGAGGCATCAGGCTGCGTACCGGCATCAGGCTGAAGAGAGGCATCAGGCTGCGTACAGGCATCAGGCCGAGTACAGGCATCAGGCTGAGTAGAGGCTTCAGGCTGAGTAGAGGCTTCAGGCTGAGTAGAGGCTTCAGGCTGAGTAGAGGCTTCAGGCTGAACCACGGAAGGCAGGCTCACCGGTTTGGATACTGGCAGGATGGTATTGGTTGGAAAGAATTTTCGCTTTTTTCTGGTTTTAACTACTGGAGCACTGCAAGTAAACGCAGGTCTGCAAACAAATGGAGCAGCTGGAGACAGAGAAGAACTGGAGGATGGAACAGGAGAGGGAGCAGTTGCTACAGAGGGCTTTTTTACAGGGTTAAAGGCAGGATAGGTGCAGCGAGTGGGAACAGGGTACTGACATGCGGTAGATAGCCAAGTATACTGGGCTGTAACTGGAGGAGCTGTTGGGAATACAGGAGTAGAGTTAGAAGCAGGACTGGGTTTTTGTAAGCTGACTGAGGCTGGGGTGCAACAAGTCTGTCCATGTCTGCAGTATGTGTTGAACAAAGCTGAGCTTACACAAAGCCTGTCTGGTCAATGACTGCACTGCGTTTATACAATCTCTTAGTGTCTGTGGTGAACATGTGAATAACGCTCCAGAAAGTAACCCACATCATCCTCTAATAACCACACCAGGGACTCTACCTGGTCTGCACTAAATGGTGGCAAAAATTCATCCCTGCATTCGGGGGTACCAGATGAAACCAACTCTGCACAAACCTCAATCAAAGGCTGCACCTCAGAGAACTCTGTGCCCTGATCTACTAGAACATGAGCGAGCCGTATACATTCTAGCAGTTCATCCCGGGTATACTCCTTCAGAGTTTGATAAGCATACTCCCTGTCATCAAACACTAGCAGATATAAATACGCAACCTCATCCAGATCCATCCTTCCCATCAACAAGCCAAGATGGCTTCCCTGTGCAGCCACTTCTGGTCAGGATTGGCCTTGGTGTAATGTCAGGGCTCCCAGGTATGACCAGAGGTGTGTGGCTGACGCAGGGAAACGCAGACCTCAGATATGTGATAAACAATGTAATTTATTAACACTAACAATACAAACATAAACGCAGTGCAATACTAAAACATAATACAGTGCAAACAAACCCCAACCAACCACCCACAGATAACAGTACATACAAGCAAGCGTCGTCAGGCAGGCCGAGTCAATATCAATTGGGCAGGTAGGTACAGGGGGAGCAAGCGGAGAATGGTCGGGGTCACAGGCCAGGTTCAGCAGGTAGCAAGCAGCGTAGTACAGAGGGTCAGGCAGAGGGATGGTCAGGGTCACAAGCCAGGGATCAGAACAGGTAGCAAGCAGCGTAGTACAGAGGGTCAGGCAGAGGGATGGTCAGGGTCACAAGCCAGGGATCAGAACAGGTAGCAAAGGAACAGAAACAGGATGCAGGACAGATACAGGGCCCAGGACAAACACAACACCAAGGCAGAGTCTGCAAGTCTGGCCATCCCTTAAATACACCAGTATCATCAGTTCCAGGTGTTAGCTGGCTGAAAGGTTGAGTCTCTGATTGCTGGGAGCACCCGCTGGCCAGCCCTGGTACTGCAGATCAAAAGGCAGGTGAGTCCCACCATTGCTGGCCAGTCCATTCCTGACAATATATGTAAAATGCTGCATAAATTGTTGGTGCTATATAAATTCCTGTAATAAACTGAAGCTTTATTATCACTACCTGTCTGGTGAAACCCTTATCACTAGGAAGGAAAGGAAAAAGTATCTAATGGTGCCCCAAATCGTAATAAAAAATCCAACAGGGTTTCTTATCCTTTCCCCACTCTATGTAAAGCAAGACATACAGTATAATGCTAGACATACACTGCAATGGGGTCTAGTGGAATGATTAGAAGAATAGTAATAGAGGAACATCATAGTATATGTATTGAATAATGAGGAGAGTTACAGCGGGAGAATGGGAGGGGAAAAAAAGCTTAATCTGTATTCTCAATGTTTTCAATATACTGTATATTTTATGAAAGTGATTCAAAAAGCATAAAGGATAAGTGCACCTTTTGACCAAAAATAATAGGTGCACATTTTTTTGTAGGTAAAAAAAATGTGCATTTATTATTTTTGGTTGCAGGAGCCTGTAAAGCATTGTACCAGCAATCAGCAGATCACTTGTGCCATGCAGGTCTCTTGCAGACCTGTCAGTATATCTGCTTGTCTGTACGGGATGTATGGGCAAGCAGACATACCAACAGGAAGATTCAATTAACTACCACAGCATCGTGGTAGTTCATTGAGAACTACAAACCAAAGCAGCTGCTAAGGCTGTTGGGACTTGTAGTTCATTAATTCACAGAACTGTGAATTAATGACACGGCCATGTGGGTGAAGCCCTGTACGGCAACGCTGATTTAAAAAAACTGGCAGCTAGTACAGGGAACTTCTCCCCATACTGCTGTCACAGGAAGGGGGGGATCGGGCAGTGGCTGTGGCATTGGAGACATGTTACATGTTCCACCCTAAAAACGGGTGGAAAGATGTAACATGTTCCCAAAGGCGAGTTTATCCTTTAGGCTGAATTAAACTAATGAAATTTTTCCATAGTTATATTGGTCCAGTTTGGGCCATGTATGTATATGCCATACCTGAGAGATCCCTGTGTAAACTGAATATCTGCACTAGCTTCCTGGTCCCCCGTAAAGTGGCTACCCTGCTGCATAGTTAACAAAGGGAATTACTTGTTCAACATGGGTGCCATTCATTTGCATTTGGATGAAGTAGACTTGTATGGTGGTGACCTCACAATCGTTAACTTGTCCAATCAGAAAATGCTTTGCATTCACTGAGAAAATGCAAAGTGTTTTCTGAATGGTGCCTTTGCCAAGCAAGCAACCTCCTGTGTTCAGTAAGCAGCACAGGACAGCACAGCACTGCACAGCATAAAAAATCCTAGTATCCCATCTCACAAGCAAAGATTTCATATGGACTTGGAGCTTTCAGTGAATAATACGGCTTAAATTTTCATATATATATATATATATATATGTATATATATATATATATATACACACACACACATATATATATATATTTTTTAGGAAAATAGTAGACAATAAATGAATGATATTTTTTACACTGAGATATATAACAATATTCACACTGTTATTAATGTTACTCCTACAAAGGATTTTTTATGAAGGTAACATGGGAGTGATAAATATTGTGCGATGAGATCATGTTAACTTCTGTAGTGAAAACAAAATGACAGAATTGACCTGTGACTTTCCTTATGTCCTTGGCCAGTGAAAGGATGAATGACGGAAAAAGAGAAAGGAAACAATGTGTGTGTGTATGTCCAATAAAAAGGAATGAGTGTATGATGTGTATACTGTGTGTTGCTATATTAATACATGTATTTAGGAATGAGAATACATATTAAGGTCTCATTCACATCACATTGAAGGAAATAAAAAAAATGTGCAGAAACATGAGTTTACTTGAATTTTCATGCAAGTTTCAGTGAGTTTTTATGAAGCTTGACATCTTTTTTTTCATGTGCATTTTTTATCCACAGATTCAAATCATATCCTGTCATCACATTCTCTTCAGTCCCCCCTCATCAGATCCCCCCCCCTCATCAGTGTTCCCTCATCAGAGACCCTTCATCAGTGTCCCCCTCATCAGAGACCCCTTATCAGTTTTCCCTCATCCCTGCCCCCCTCATTAGAGACCCCCTTATCAGTGTTCCCTCACCACTGCACTCCTTTTCAATGTTCCCTCATCAGTACCCCCTCATCAAAGACAACTCATCAGTGCCCCCCTCATCAGTGTACCCTCATCAGTGTATCCTCCTCAGTGTCCCTTCACCAGAGCCCCCTTCATTAGAGAACCCCATATCAGTGTTCACTCATCAGTGCTCCCCTCATCAGTGACCCCCTTATTGTTATTAACTCATCAGAGACATCAAATCAGTGTTCTCTCATGAGAGACTCCTCATCAGTGTCCCATCAGTGCTCCCTCATTAGTGATCCCTAATCTGGGCCCCCTCATCAGTATCCCCCTTATCAGAGACCCCCCCTAATCATTGTTCCGTCATCAGCACCTCCTCATCAGAGACCCCTCATCAGTGCCTCTTCATCAGTGTATGCTCATCCGTGTATCCTCACCAGAGTCCCCTCATCAGTGTCACCCTTATCAGAGACCCCCATATCAGTGTTCCCTCATCAGCGCCCCCCCCATCACTGTCTTCTCATTACAGTCTTGCCATCAATTCCCCCTCATCAGAGCCCTGTCATCAGTGTTCCCTCATCAGTGCCCCATCAGTATCCCCTCACCAGTGAACCCTAATCAGCGCCTCATCATCAGTGTCCCCTCTTCAGTTCCCCTTCATTAGTGAACCCTCATCAGTGCCCCCTCATTAGTATCCCCCTCATCAGAGCACCCCTCATCAGTGACCCCTCATCAAAGCACCCTTCATCAGTGACCCCTCATCTCAGCTCTGCCATCTGTGCATCAAAGCACACCAGTCTAGGGAGGGGATGGGATTTTAGGTGGGTAAATTGTTGGCAGTGATCAGCACTAGCACTGGTTGGGGAATTGTTAATCCAAGAGGAAGGCCTATGATGAAAGAGAGATTGAGGAAGAGCCAATGTCTCCC